TGAAAAGTGTTCTTGACTTTACATATTGAAGAATGGGCTTTCACTGATACGCCATCCGACTGATTGATGGGATAATGTTCTTAACCCATCAATCAAACTCAGTCAAAGTAAACAGAGGTATATTATAGGTATAGGTACAGAGTAAACTATAGGCATACCGGCATCAATGGGGGAATGATCGGTCGATGGCTGTTCTGAACCCCTAAACTTCTTTGGTCAGCTCCGCCTCTACGCCATAGCCCTCGTATCGCAATGATCGTATTCATCCATCGAAACCGCACCGCATTTATTCACATCTGGCACTGTACGCTGGATGGGCACAAATTCTCGCACTCCAATTCGATAGTGTCGCTTCTGCTGTTTAGCGCCCTATCACAGAGATGTTATTGACAATGTAGGGTCCAAGAGACCTTTCCTGAGTGGATGTGTTTGTTGTTTATTTGAAAGTAAGGTTGTTGATATTTCTACTAAACTATACATAAGACCTCAGTTATTCCATCATCGAATCAAACATCATCGAACTCCGAGTAGTGAGGAAGCCCAGACAAGCTGAACTGGGGCTCTAGGTCGTACAATTGTGAAATGGTATAGGGATGACTATTTTTTTCTGCCTTTTCCCCCGCTGACTCGACCAATGGGCATCAACGTTTCTATTCCTGACTTCCATTAAATACATTATTTCAAGGTGGCATAGGCCTCTGATCTGTGAGTGTTTAATGCAGCGAAAAGCGGTGAAGATTGGGAAATAAACATTCATTGAGTTGAGCAGCTATAAAATGTCAAACAATCCTACTTGTCTGAAAATGAAATCTGGTCATTATCGGTCACTAAAACTACTTTTTCAACTGAAAATCCTGTTGACTGTCCGGGAATCAAATGATTGTTCTTACAGAAAGCAAAGGTGTCCTTGGAGGTACGAGAGATGGTAAACGCAAGTGATGAGGAAGTCAACGATCCCAACTCCAAGGACTTCATCCGATTCATGTCAGCCAAACAAGGCAATGACGCTACCACCATTTACGTTCACGACCATTCCTTACGAAGAACCAAAGTGAACGAGACCCGGTCAGTTCATACCCAGCCGCGATTCCACATATTGAGGTTGACAGCATCATCACTATTTGCTTTCAGGAATTTCACACTCTCCGCCAATGCCAATTTCTACAATTTGGCAACATCGTCGATAGCGTCGGCCGTCCATATACCAACACCGCTTTACGATAGAAGTAAGAAAAGCCAAACAAAGCATACAGCTTAAATTTCTAAATTTCAAATTCCTGCCTCCTGCTCTATAGATCTATGTGTTCAATGGATGTTCTAAACCAGGAGCGTTCTACTGAGTTTATTACTTACTTCTTAATTACTGCTACTGATTGGTGGTCAACGGACGGTTTCTGACGGCTTAATCCGTTACTTATTATAGTCCGTTAATCTTCGATTTTTGAATATATTTCTGGAGATAATTAGGATCCATTGAGGAGAATTGCGACAAGTCAAGAGCACTGTTCACGATAATTCTGTGGTAACTAGTTTGAGACAAATAATGAAAGCTATGTTCCAGAATAGTGGTGAAGCAAACGCTGAATTCGGCGTGTTCAGGGGAAAATAAGACTCTGAAAAAGTAGTAAAACCAGGGATTGGGGAGCAAGGTGGGGGGAATGTGGCGACAAACGTTGCACGGGAGCGATATTTGAACGAGCTATTCACATGAAGCGCCATTGCAAAAAGCTGGCTAGAATAAGCTGCCTGCGTTTGATGTGTGGGTCCCAGTGCCAGTCATGCGACCTCTAGAGCTTTTACACGTCCTGAGAACAGTACGCCTTGGGTGTGTTCGTGGCTAAGCCGGCTTTGGGGCCCCTTATTACCCTATTTGGACCTTTTTTAAACCAGCAGCCTGCACTGTGCTATCCTCCGAGTAACAGGTTCATCTCAAGGAGAAATCTCAGAAACCCTTTATACAGTAAGCTGTGCCTTTGATCCGTTACAAGCCGTTGGTAGACAGCTTTCCAGTTAATCACCTCTTACTACTCAGATCCTGAATTACTGCGAAAAATCGAATGGTCGCAAATCGACGAGGTTTATCGAACACATCGCGAAGAGACGCGTGATCTGGCATTCCAGCTCTTCTGCTCCGAAAGCGGGTATATGCGCTTCTTCCCAGGTGACCATCCGTAACAGCAATGTGCTCAGTTCATGTGTCAAATTCCCTAATTTGCAGCTGCCTCGTGGTTTTGGGACAATCACATCGA